TAAAAACAAAATAAATATGAATAAAATGGATAAAAAATGAAAGGAAGGGTAAGAATGAACTTATAGGTCTTCCATAAGGTTAGGAAGATGTTTTAAACCCAAAAAATTAGGCCATTGACCTAAAAGTTTAATTTTACTTAATGCATAATTCTTGAAATTTCCAAAATATTCCCAACTTGGGCAAGCCATAATTTGTTCAATTTTGATCTCATGATGATGATCTTGGACTTTTTGGAAATACCAAGATGTCTACTTCAATCCCTCTTTTAATAAATTTTGCATTTGAAGATTTTATTTTGATGTACATGGTCTTGACAAAAAGTGCCTTCTGTTGACTTTCTGAAAATGACCTGTAATGTATGAGCTTGTATCTTTCAAATGATGCATTTCGTGGACTTGATGGAAAAAGAGAAGTTGTAGGGAATGATATTCTCTTCAAAATGAGCTTTGATTGGGGGAAAATGGATGAAGTATTAGAAAGTTATGCTTGGTCAAAGTTTGATTGACTTTTCCTATAGAAACCCTAATTTAGCAATTCTTGACTTTTGATAGATTAGGAGCATTTCTTGAGGAATCATGATCAACCCTTGATCAAATGATTGATATCACTTCAAAATGTTGATGTTGACCAAAAATCTTGAAATTTGATTATACATGGGCCACATTTGACTTTTGACCTAGTATAGTTGATTTCCAAGGATTTGAGCAATTGGCTGAGCAAACTTGTAATGTAAGGCATGAAACTTGGCATGGACAATCTTGAAGGCATATTAGGACAATGGATAACATTTGGGGAATTTGGAGTTCACATATCTTGATGAAAAGTGAAACCCTAATTAGAAGTTCATTGCTTAGGAGGAGAATTTGTCTGGTCAATTCTTGGTCATCCTTGAGAAATTGGAAACCTCAATGGGCCTGTCTTGAGTAAAAATGGGAGGGTAAATTTTGGGGTACAACACAGGGAAAGTAAAACATTGATACATCGGGTCATAGAACTGGACCATAGTTGAGAGAATCCCCTCCTTAATCCTGAGCTTCATGAGAGACATGATGGGTCCATACTTCTTCCGAAAATTTGTAGAACTCTCAATCTCGGGAATTAGACTCAGTAAATCATCTATATTGGGATTATTCAAATTTTACTTCCGAGTCTTTCTTTTTCCAAAATCCATGGTCAAAAGTACCTGGCATATTCGCAAAAAGTCAACTTTAAGTCCCTTGAACCAAAATGTTTTAAAGGATGCTCATGGGGCATGAATGCATGATGCAATAATCACACACAATATCATAAACATGGGGTTCATAGGTTCGACGTCATAAGCATGAGGTCAAAGGTACGACCCAGAAGGTATGGTCTAATAGTTTATCACCTTCCGAACAAGGTTCTAAGAGGTTCCCAGAGTCTACATCCTTCCTTCGGATATTACCAATGTCCTGATTGACTCAGTAATTAGAAATATTCTCAGGAAAAACTCGTTTGAGTGTAATATCGCGTGACAACCATTTTCGGATTACTCCGTCATAGTTTCCGCACTACACCTAAAAGGCCAAGATGGGTTAAAGGTTCTACGGTCTTAATTTCAGTAGGCTTCCAGGTCGAAAGCAGCACGTCATCTCGATTACTCGATAAACGACACTACAGTCAAAGGGGCCTCCACTGAGTGGGGGATCTCATGCCTCCTTTTTTGGGATTACTCCCTCAAAGTTAACATGACTAGACCGCCCGTCCTATCTTAAGTTTTCCCAAGTCCGGGTATAGGACTTATGAGAAATCACCAAGCACCCTGAAAACCAGGAAAAATCAAGACAAACATATATACAACACATAATATATAACAAATAATAACACAACACAGATAAACAAAGATAGGTTTAACCCACTTAGGGATGGACCAACAATTGGCCAATCGTTCCCCAGTGAAGTCGCCATTTTTTCCAGTAGCGGTAGAAATGTTGAGACTAAGCCATTAGATTGACTTAACTAGCACAAATCAAAATAAAAATCGCCACCACGCTTTATTGTTTCCAGAGAAATGGGAAAAGAGAGAATAACCCAAAAAGGATGGGGAGAGAATCTAAGTTCGGGGGTTGGTTATGCAAAGGGAAGGTATTAGCACTCTAAACATCTACGGTACTCTGCGGGAAGTTCTTTGAAAATTTGTGTATTTTGGCTATAAATGTTGTATACAAAAATAAATTATGGGGGTGAGAAAAGAAGTATTTTCTACAATATTTACACCCGCCGTAGTTGCGAACCTTTAGTGCATATATACCACCTTCTGTGAAATAGGGGATCACGGTACTCGTAGTTCACCTTTAAAATTTTTATAACACAAGTGTGTTGGTTAATTTTAAGAGATGAGACATCATCGTCATCTCCGAGTAGAAGAACATACTTACTACCCACGATTATGAGAAAGGAGAATATGCGTCATCTCAAAGTGGAGGATATGGCTTGAATTTTAAAATCAATAAAGCCTCACTCAACACCCAAGTGGAACATATCTCACTTCACTATATATCGTAGAAGTATGGTATCTCGCATCACTACAAGGATTGGCAAGAGTCTAATCTTTTGAGAAAAGTTTTAAAGAAAAAGCCAAAGTGGCAAAATGATTTGAATGAGATTGATTGAATTTTAGTCTTCTCACAAAAATGTCAAAGTATGATTAAGTTGTTTAAAATCTGATTAAAGAAAATATTTTTGGAAATGCATGGACCTAAGTCCAAGTTTATTGTGAAAGCGATTCAAGTTTTAGAAAACAATAATAGTTTTTGAAAAGGAGGGAGAATTTTTTTGAAATTAAAGAAGATATGAGGAGATGAAGAGACTATCTATCATACCCCAATTTTTGACCTAAGATCCCATCTTCATTTGCATTGTTTTATATATACATCAAGGTCACGAAATATGGTCGGTTTCAAACATTTCACCTTCGAGCTTTGACTGTGTAGAGATTATCGAGTGTTGTGAGCATTTTATCTTATGAATGACTAACCACTGATCAAGCACGAAGTGTGTGGTTTGTTTTTATTTTATTTCATGTGCAGGAAACAGGTCTGAAAGAAGAGCATTAGACGTCACGCCTCAATCAGGGTTTCGAGTCTCAAAACAGAGATGCAGTCGATCGTTGATTCTCAAAGACTGGCTCATCAAAATAACTTTCAGATAATCGTGTGTTATTTCCATGATCTATGTAACAGATGGCCACAAGTGTCTCTGAAATTCTTCAGAAAGAAACAGTCAGAGTTTTACTGCCATCGGTTCGCGTGTGTTCTGCATTGCCTTAAAATACAAGAAAAATCAAGCTATGCAAGTCAATTCTGACCACTTCGACCAAAAGTTAACTGCAAATTTTCTCATGACGCGGGGCGAATTTCATTAAGAGGGGATGATTAAATTCAAGACCGTTCTGGAAGAATTTAGTCGAAATACTTGGAATTTTCTTTATTTGAATTCAAGTGTTAATAGAAGCTACCAAGATATTTCCTTCAAGAATAATCGTTCATCGTATTAGATATTTATTCAAGATTATTTTGTATGATTATTTTGGTGGGTTTACATCATGACCATTTGAATTCACATGAAGCACTTATTAAAGAAGATATTGGGAAAAGAAATTCGATCCAATTAATCGTTCATCACAAGATTAAATACATGATGGTTACTATTTTATTACAAGATCAATTCATGGGATTTATTTGATTTCTATTACAAAATGAAAGATTGAAGTCTTAAGGCTTGCATTATTATTTATTCATCATTCAACAATTCATCCAAGTATTATTCAATTATTTCACAAATTCAAATGGAAGACTTGGAATTTTATCAAGACATATCAAGATTCTAAATTTCAATCGAAGATTCAAAGTTGTTCACGATTTTACAAAAGAATTGAAGGAATTATATTGGAGAACAAATTCCATTTGTGTTACAAATTTATTTGAGTTATTATTACAAAGTTGCAAAGAAGATACAAGTTTGTACAAAATATATTTTCAACACTCAAAAATTCAGCCCAACAAAGTTGCTAATGCTGTCAATTTTGCAACCCATTTTTCCAGTCCAATTTTGTTGTATTTTTACTGCTCAGCAAGGCAGCAAACGAGCCCAGAAATGCAGCATAGCAGTCCGAAGAAAAAATGTTGTAAAATGCTACAAACAACCTGAAAAAACAGCAACATACAACAACCCCAAATGATGCCAAAATATGACATAAACTGCTATACAGTCTGCTCCAACCTGCATCAAAGTAGCCACAGAATTGCATCAAAATGGTTAAAATAAATTGTGTGAACAAAGCATGAAAACATCTTGCCAAAAAAGTTCAAATCTCTATTGTTTTCCCCCCTAAAACCCCACACATTTCACTATAAATAAAGGCCTTCATCAACAGAAAGGAAGAGAAAAAAATTTGTCCAAGAATCACACTATGAATCAGAAGAGGATCATTGAGAAGAGAAGCATCAACAAGAGAGGGAGGGAGAACTTACTATTTTTTCTGAAGCTCCATCGGAGAGACTCCGATAGGTATTTCTCTTCCCATTATTTTTGCATAGTTTTCTCATATAGAATCTGTTGAATCCAATTGCATAACAACATCACCTCCATGATTTGAATCTTCTATTTGCACCATTTCCTTTATGCCATGAATGTTTGATTTATCATAATCCTTGAGGTATTCTGGAGTTGCTACGTTCTGTTGATGTTTAACCTGTTAAAAATCAGAATATTAATTCTTAGGATTAAGTTGCAACCTGTTAAAAGAAAAACATAGGATACTTGTTTTGCATATATGTTAAAACCTTTTAACATAACTAGAAAACTAAGATGCCTAACTTGTTAACAATATGCATAACCTGCTAACAAATTTTCTCTAAAAATTTCTCAGCTCTGTTAAACCAAACCTGTTAACCTGTTAACAAACCCAAACCTGCATCAGAACTCAACATTAGTACTTTAAAATTACTAGAATAAGAGATAGAATTGTACCATCCAAATGTTGTCCAATTTCTCACTTCCTTCTACCATCCACAATACATCTCAACCTGCAAACACTTCTAGCATCTGTATGTTGTATATAAACCAGTTATTATTAGAAACCATCAATTCCTAAATAACCCAGTATACTCAAGAATCACCTGTATAACTTCAGATACCAGATTTGCCGTCACCCGATTTTATCGCAATGATGTTTATAAAAAAATAGTTGAATTTACATCACCTATGTATCCTGAGGACAGGTCTGGTCCACAGATTATCGAGAAACTGTAAGATATCAACCAACAAAATACTTCAACTAAGAAAATGAAATCAGATTGAGAACTTACAAATGTTGTAAACTAATTCCCCCTTTACCTATCAAAACAAATCACTTTCATCCTACCAGAGCTTCATTTAGCTACAACCTACCTCTTCCGCCATGCAACCGTACTGCCACCAAGTCAACCTCTATCGCCGTTTCTGAATCATAATCTTCATCCTCTTCTTCTCTCCATTAGCTCTGCTTAAATCCTTCATACATCCTTTGTATCATCTCCACCGCTACTCCCATTTTTTTCCACCGTCTAAAAAGAAATAACGGTGGAGAGTAATGATTCTAAACAGGTTTTTGAAGACTGTCGTTCTCATGGATTAAGAATCTCAAGCTTGCGTGGAGGAAGAAGAAGGTTATTGTTGCTGAAAGAGAACCTGAACATAAAAAACGAAATTCATTATATAGCCACTAAGCCACACATATCACACCTTCTAAAACAGTAAAAATCAGAAAATACCAACAAAAACAAAATCGTCAAAGATGCTTAGCAATAGCGTTGAAGTATGTTGTTCACCCACAGGACGAGATTTAAGATAAATCTATTTGGCTGGTGACCAATAAACTCTTTCAGCTTAGTTACATAGAAGAAGATGTTATGAAATTTGCAACAAATGCTTCTCTCTGTTGTAGATCATGAAGTTTCAAATGGAGTACAATCTGGACTTACCAAACAAAGAGAGGAGGTTGAAAATCTTGAAATAAGTAGTACTTCCCAGGTTTCTGAGCCTGAAAATGATTCCACTAGAGTTGTTAAACCAACTATTCAAGTGTTTCATCTATATCGTTTTCTGAAGCACAACACCATCTCCGCCTAGCTCATTGCCTATCAATTCCGACCACTCTTCATCTTCTACTTTACCCTTTTTACCATGCACCATCACCGATTCACATGCTTCCATCCATCATCACCTTCAGAACCTCTAAATCTGCTCCGATCTCAACGACGCTGACTCGGCCATTCTTTCTCCCTCACCCGAATCAACCGAACAACCTTGTACAATCGACCCCCTCAAGTATGGCCTCGATCCCGACATTTTAGAGAAGATTTGGTAGGCGAGGCAGGGTAAAAGGAAAGCGTTGTAGAAGAAAATAGGGAACTTTGTGAGAGAGGAATTGTTGGTGATGGTTGTTTGAGCGAAGAGGATGTAAAGTTGGAATAGGGAGAGAGGAAGTTGATAGTAATCCGTGAGAGAGAGAGAGGATAGTTTTGTTGTTGTTTCTTTTTTTTGTTTTTTTTTTCTTTTACAGGAAACTGTAATAATTAATCTGTAGTTTACCCTTTCCAATACTCCCAGCCGCGACGCCATTCTTTATGTTTTAGGGTTTCAAAACACATCCTTGCCTCTGCCCAATCAGGTCGTCCCCATTAGGCCTTTTGGCCCAATCCCATTCCCATCATCACCTTATTTATTAATAAAAGCATAGATATTGATAGATAAATAGCACAGTTCAATTGGCAAAGCATGCTACTAAAACCTAAGAGACACGAGTTCAACTCTTTATTGAGCCATTTTATTATGTTTTTCTTAATTCTTTTAGTCTTATTTCTAAATTTTATTAAAATATACTTGATAACCAAAACATTAACTAGTTTATTTATAAACTTCTTTCAAAAGCTAATACATGTTGTTTATTTTGCTAGTTATTAATTATTCAAATAGTTTTTATTTAATCTTCTGTTTATTAATTATCCTAATACATGTTAATTTTTATTTAATTTTGTCTAAATACATGCTTATAAACTAATCTTTTATTTAATTTTTGTTTAAAAATGCATGCTAATAATTTAATTCTCGTTATTAATTTAATTGTTCAGTTGTCGCTATAATTAACATTATTCTCGATCGTTTAATCCTTATCTTTCGCCGGTCTCAATTCCAAGGGAAATATTTTAATTTTGTTGACTTTATGTCATCAAAAATATATCATATGATCATGCGAATAGCCTCATTCATTTTTTTTCTATTTACTATTTTGCCAAACTTAAGTTGATTTTCCTAAAAGATTCAATTTTCAAACTCACACTTTTAAGTCACAACTTTGACACTAGGTCGTCGTATCTTTAAAATCTCATCCATACCCATTTTTAGCCAAACGAACCATTTTAATCAAACAAACCATTTTAAACCAAAAAAAAACGGATATTTCAAAAGGTTCTTGTGGAGTACCGCAGATGCATTGGGTGCTAATACCTTCCCATTGCATAACCAACCCCCGAACTTTAGATCTCTTTTCAAAAATGCATTGTATTTTCATTACTTTTAAGTACTATTTTACATTGCATATTTAAGGGTTTTATTTCGCTCTTTTCCCTTTTCCCTTGGAAATAATAAAGCGCGATGACGACTCTTGCTTTGCGAGTCAAGTTAATTAATAGCTCGGTCTCTGATTTACCCCGTTACATTTTTTATCGCTACAGAATTGGCGACTCTGCTGGGGAAAGATTGACCTCTTGCTGGTCCATCCCTAAGTGGGTTAAGCCTAATTTGTAATATCTGTTTTTTGTTATTATTACTTGTTTGTTTGATTATATGTGATATATTGTGGTTATTTGGGTGTTGATAATATTTACAAAAGACAAGTCCTATACCCGGACTAAGTTACACTTAGGAATAGGACGGGCGGTATAGTCATGTTAACTATGAGGGAGTAATCCCGAAGAAGGAGGCATGAAATCCCCCACTCAGTGGAAGCCCCTTTGAACATAGTATTTTTTTACCGAGTAATCAGGAAGACATTATTGCTTTCGACCTGGGATCCAGAGAAGCTGAGAACCGTAGAACCCTTAATCCATCTTGGCCTCTTAGGTGTAGCGCGGAGACTATAACGGAGTAATTCGAAAGTAGTTCTCACGCGATGCTACACTCGGATGAGTTTCTCTTGAGAATATTACTAATTATCGAGTAATAGAGACGTTGGTAATATCTGAAGGAGGGATGTAGACTCTGGGAACTTTTAGAACCTCATTTTACAGGTGTGATTAAACCTTTAGTACATACCTTAGGGGTGGGCTTTACCTTTGACTCCATGCTCGAAGCGTTGAACCTTTGAACCCCATGTTTGTGAACTTATGTGTAATTATTGCATTATCATTCATTCATACATCCATAAGCATTTTTGTAAACATGTTTTACAAGGAACTTAAGAATGATTTTTGCAGACATCTCAGGTACTGTTACTATGGATTTTGGAAAAATAAACACTCGGAGTTATAGTTTTAAGGAGCCTGAGATTGAAGAGTTGAAGAGTATGATTCCAAATATTGAGAACCCTACGGAGTTTCAAAATAAATATGGATCTATTATCCCTCTCATGAATCGCAAGATGAAGGAAGGCATCCTTAGTACGTTGGTCCAATTCTATGATCCATTATATCGATGCTTCACTTTTCCTGATTACCAGTTAATGCCCACTTTAGAAGAGTACTCCTATATACTTGGTTTGCCAATCACTGACTGTGTTCCTTTCTCTAGTTTAGAAGGGGAACCCATATCTCACGAGATAGCAACAATCACCCATTTGAGGATGTCTGAGATAGAAGAGAACATGACTACTAAGGGAGGAATTCGAGGCTTACCTGCGTAGTTTTTGTTTAAGAAAGCTCGTCACTTCGCCGAGATAAAGGATAATGTCGCATTTGAATATGTCTTTGCCTTACTTGCTTATGGATTATTCTTGTTCCCTAACGTCGATAAGTTCGTGGATATCAACGCCATTAGAATCTTCTTGATCGGAAATCTGGTCCCTACGCTTCTAGGAGATACCTTCTTCCATCTTCGAAACTCCTACCAAGGTGGGATGATTATCTGTTGTGCACCCTTGCTATACCAATGGTATGTTTCTCATTTACCTGGGTCTGATATTTTCTGGGATCTCAAGAAGGAGCCACGATGGGCACCAAAAATTATGGCTCTTACTCATTCTGACATAGATTGGTATAATCGAGCTTACTATGACGTGAAGATCATTGATAGTTGTGGTGTTTTTCCTAACGTACCTCTTCTTGGTACGAAGGGAGGATTAAACTATAATCCTGTCCTTGAGTGCCTCCAGTTTGGATACCTAATGAAGGACAAGCCGAATAACATTCATTTGAGTGGTTTCTTTCTACAAGAAGGAAAAGATCACAAAGCGGCTAAAGAGGAGATTGAAAAGGCTTGGCGCCATATCCATAGAAAGGGGAGAGACATGTTAGGGAATATAGGTGTTGTTTCTTTGGAGCCTTACCTTCAATGGGTTCATGCTAGGGCTTGTGCTCTCAAGATGCCTTATAATCCCGAGAAACCTTTATTCCATGTTGCTACATCATCATCTACTAATATCCCTATTGAAAACATGAGATAGTATCAGGAAAATCTTGCTAGAATGAAGTCTGAAAGAGATGCTTGGAAGGAAAAGTATAGTATGCCCGAATACGAAAATAGGGTCTTGACTCGACAGCTGAAGGAGAAGGATGATATGCTATTTATCCAAGATGGTTGATTTATTGATCATGATGAGAAGCTTCGTCAAAAGGATGCTTTACTCAGGAAATATGCTAAGGAAAGGAAGAGAAAGACGGAAGATTTGGTAGGCGTTACTCTTGTTCCTGATCCACAGAAGGAAGTCATTGATCAGTAGCCGAGAAGAAAGAAATAGAAGATTTCTATAAAGAGAAGATTAGGAAGCTCAAGTTACAAGTAGCATTTGGTCCTTCATTTTATGATGATTCTGAGTGATCTTTAGTTCCTAGTTTTTTATTACTTGTGTCATTTTGTAAAACTCTGTAAAAGGGCTTTATGTTCCAAAGTTGTAATTTACTGCTTTTATTAATGGGTTTTGTTGTCCCAAAGTTATAATTTACCGCTTTTATTAATGAAATTAGTTTTTGTTGTTCCGAATTCCTTTACCATTGATGTGTGCAAAGTTATCAAAGTTCTAAAGTTCCTTGAAAAACTATCAAAATAAATAATCATTTGCATCATATATCATGCATCATCCAACATTCAATTTCACATGTTTTCTAGAGTCTTATTCTTGTTTATTTTCCCACTCTGATAGATTTTCAAGTTGTTTCACCGGTATAATACTTGAGCTAATCGTCGAAAGAGAATGGAAGATCTAGAGAAAGAAAATCACGAGCTTCGCGAGGAGGTCACTAATCTTCGTACTGGAATGGAAAAGTTGACTGCTTTGGTGGAAAGCTTGATGGCTGCTCAGAATCAGCCATCGACTTCGGCCACCGAGACTCAAGCTCAAACTACTGTGGTTTCCAAGATCGTCACTACTCCAACATCTCTAGCTCAAGTCAACTCTCGGCAACATCAAATTCCGAAAGGTTTTCCATGCGGTAATGCCTTACAACTTCACGCCAGAGGGGTACCATCCTGTTGTGCAACCCATGATTCAACCTGTTGTATCCTTTCCTCAACCTGAGATGACTACTGTGCAACCTGTGATCCAGCCTATGGTGTCTTTTCCTCAGCCTGTAATGACTATTGCCGCTCCCGTGGTTCACACTATTCCATATACAAATGAACCCATTTATCATGCTGAACCTACTGAAAGTTTGGGCATCTTTGATAGGATGGAGGAGTTTCAAGACCAATTCCAAGAGATGCATAGAGAAATTAGAGCAATTAAAGGGAAAGACTTGTTCGGTAAGAATGCTCATGACTTGTGTTTGGTCCCAAACGTGAAAATTCCAGCTAAGTTCAAAGTGTCAGACTTTTAAAAATACAAAGGTGACTCGTGTTCACAAAGTTATTTGACCATGTATATGAGAAATATGTCCACTTACTCTGATGATCATAAGATTTTGATTCACTATTTTCAA